TTTGTATTTGATATACCGAAGAACTATTCTAGACTTGAATTTACTTGCGATTCGAGAGTCTAGATTTCATGTTGACCCCTCGCCCAAGGTTGTCATGTTTTCTTTTAGAAAAAATGGCATACCTATAACTATTGTTATAATTATATTCAGGTCCGGAAGATTCAAAGTCTGCACCCTAGTACATGCTTTGAATCAAATATGAATAAAGTATAGAACTAAAAGCATGATATAGATATTGGTATTAGAAATCTATCAGAAGCGACGAGGCACGTCGTGCTCGTACTCTTCTAACCAGTTCGACCTCTTCCTGCATTACCTCTGAAGAGTAAGCTGGGCTCTTTTCTGCTCTCTTTCTTCAAGTTTTATGGGACTGTCCGGCAGGTTCGGAGAACGTATTTGCACGCGGAAGGCGCGCGCGTCCGTCGTTCTGTTAGTAACTTTTGATGAAGTTCATATTTACACTTCTGCGTGAATGTAATCGCGTTACTCGCATTGTACTGTCGCAGAACTAAAAACTCTAGTAGCCACTAGCCAGATCTTTCTCCCCCAACACTTCGGCTTACTGTGCAGAGCGCCGTAGCTGTCCTTTCAATTTCATGGCGTCTTCCATGGATTTGAATCGATGGCCAGTCTATTATTAATAGTGAGTGAAGATTTGTAACCATAAACATACTCATGGCAATGGCTGATGGCAGTAAAACGAACTTGGTGCAACATTGACCTACTCTGCTTTTCGCATCTCTATCCTTGACAGTATGGAGATCAAGAAGCAGTTTAGTCAAATTTTCTTAGTTCAAAGTCGAGGAATGTTGTAAGAAAAGCATAGGGTGAGGTGGTAAGAAAACGACGGCAGCCCTAATTCATGATAATTAGTTCGAAACGATGACCATTCTTATCTAATTGAAGTATATTTTCATCAGTGAAAAATTATTCAGTTCAACTCTTTCATGTTTTTGCTCATTTTGTCCTGGCGCAAGCCGTGGCTTTATGGTAGTATCATGATGATAGCACAACCACAACTATAAAGATATTAAGTTTAAGACTGAGGCACCCATGCTCATAGTGGCGTCAGGAAATTGATCTAGGTGAAGTCTTTCTTATTGTAAATATTATTACAAATCAATCGCCAGTAGTAGGAGTAGAAGTTTTCCACTTTCTAACCACTACTAAGCGAAACGCAAGCGCAAGACCCCGCGCGGGTTCTAGGAATTCAGTGTGTGGAATACCATCGACATTACATTGGCATCCTTTCCGCTACAAATTTTGATTGATATAATTTATGCTCACACAGTATCGGGCAAAATAAGTTCCATATAATTATAAATACTGAGGCTCAACACAACAACCAAAGCACTTCGCAAGAGGCAACTTTCAGTAAAGTTTTGAATTCATTACTGCCTTTTGATCATCCGTCATGGCCCATTTTGTAGGAGTCGGCGTCCTACAGCCTTCTAGTATTAGTAAAAATATAAATATATCTTCGTCAAGTTTTGACTTTTATAATATGCTGCCGATGTTGAAAGATGTAGTAGCCTAAGCACGTGAACATAATGAGAAGTAAGTAATTTTGAGTATTAATATTAATAATTCTTCATGTTGATGAAAAACACTAGTCGCTAGACTTCTTCAAATTCATGATCAAAGAACTTCGTCATCTTGTTCGATAACCACCTAATCCATTTCTATGCCGATACTTTACTCAGTGTAGTGTCTAGTGCTAGTCATGAAAATTAGGGAGATCAAAATGATAACAATTGAAATAGAAATACAAATTTTCCGTGCGCAAGGGTCAAGAACCATTTTCCATGCTGCCGTCATAGCAGCACGAATCAAAATCAATATGAATAACCTATAAGTATAAGAATAAGAGTAAGTGCATTGTTCATATTTTGCACATAAACAACGAGTAAACGAAGCCAATGACCATTATGATCTTGTTTCTTTATTCTGGTACTGACGCAAGAGAAGAGCAGGCTTCTCTTCCCAAACTTCAAATCCTCACACGAACCAGCGGAAAAATTGAGAAAGCGTCTGATGCTAAGCCTATACCTAGGTCTAAAGTAAAGGGTCTGTTTGTAGAGGAGTATCCGTCATCATCTTGATCATTATACTCATTACTGCTGAAGACAAATGACTGATAGATAGCATAGACATCACAAAGAACATAGCTGATCTTCTAAGTACGCAGATGAAAGCATCAATTTTCAGGGAGAGGGAGATGGGAATTATAATTCTTGATAATTTAATCGTGTAGTTCATGTTCATTGAGCCACCAAGTCAGCAAGGAAGAATCTTGTAGAATAAGAATGTCGGGTCTATCAACTAATTAGGGGGACGGGAAGAACCATCACGATAAAAAGCATGAGGAATTTCTGAATCTACATCATGAAAAAATCAACCACTCCAGCATGTAGAGGCACTCGCATTTGATAAAATTACTCTTCTCGCTCCTTTCAGTTCCGACAGTATATCTCAGAGGCCCTTATGTCTCTCGTGAAAAGTGTAGGCTGATTATCATTTCTGACTGCAGCGACTTACAGACAATGTCCACAGAGTAAGAGTATGAGTCTGTGGCAGAAACGTGAAGGCTTTGCAGCGGCACTTGAATCCATTCTCTCTCTCACTCTAGTAAAAGTCATTTGTTTATCACCACACTTTTCTCATATCCTCACGAAGTCGAAGTCGAAGAACAAAATCCAAAACAGAACGAAGCCAGTTTTATCATTTACGATTTCTTGTTTCACTTCTGAATTATAGCTTAGTAGCTTTTTGTGTAAAATACTTCGGGATCTCTCCTTCGCACTATGGTAGTTTGAATGGTTCTCGCCCGACCTTTTTGACTACCAGAATTGAGAGCTTCTGTTCTCCTCAAAATTTTGAATCGTGAAGTGTCTGTTTCAATCTTTCCAACACCTTCTGTTTCAGAGCGTTGAGAACGACCTGCTATCAATTGAAGCAATGAAAACAGCATCGGTCTGAGTTTCAATTTCTCAAACATATACTTTCGTGGTCTGTATGCATTTAGTTTCAAGTCTTCTGCATCATTCGAGTCTTCTGTTGTGAGAGAAGTTGTTTTTCAGGGTGTGAAATTCAAAAGTTAACGATCAAGTTCTGTCTTTGAGAAGAGCGAACTTCTAGGCTATGGCAATAGTTTTTTCTCATTCTGTAAAACCAATTTTTTAAAATTCACTTTATAAGATCAGGACGAGATCAGGAAAGCAATTTTTGCATCGGTGGCTTGATGAGTAGCCTTCACGTTTGTAGTTACGAACTAGATACTTAAACTACAACACGTGACTAGAAGAATTTTGCATCTATCTTCCCTTTCACCTGCAAAGAAAAACTGAAGATGGAGAATCTCTCCGAAATGAATCCGCGGACTGCTGCAGCATTGCTCGAGGTGTCGGGAACGGCGACCAAAGATGAGATGTAGGGTATGGTAGTCGTGTGACTTCTCACCAGACGGATCTCCTTCATCAACGAGCCGCTTTTCTTTCATCATTACTACATGACGATGACATATTTATACGATAGGTAAGAAACAGTACTACTGCCTGTAATTCTTGGCTCTTATCTCACGCTTGCCAGTTACTACTTAATTTGAAACGCAGCACTGTTTTTTTTTATCGTTTACTTCATCGCCTCCTGCTCGTGCAGCACTGTTTTTATCGTTTTCTTCATCGCCTCCTGCTCGTGCAGCACTGTTTTTATCGTTTTCTTCATCGCCTCCTCATAGACCACAGTTTCTTGATTCCTCCGTTCATCTCTTTGCTGCTGCTTTTAAGCGGCTTGCGCTGAAATTCCATCCGGACAAGAATCGCGATCATGTGGAGTGTACGACGGCTGCTTTTCAACTCGTACAAGCGGCGCGAACGGTTCTACTTGAGGCGGCGCCGCCATTTTATCTACCTGAAGACTCACCGTATGAAGAAGAAAAAGCAAAGGCAGCACGTCGCGGATCCTTGATAAAGATTAAGGGTTACCACATTGCATTCTTCACTACCATCCTTGACTTTTTTTCCAGTAGGAAAAGGGTCAGGGATGACGTGAAGAATGCAATGTCGCAAGCAACCTCTAAAAAACACAATCGTCGTGCTGCGAATCATGCTGGCAGCACGCGAGCTGGTAGACAACACGTCGATGACGTGCAAGGAATTGGTGCCTTTTTTACATCGTCAATGAATGGTCGTGGGAGAACAAGACGAACCAGGCGTGCGAGTTCGCGACATCAAAGTCAATGTGTTGTGACAGAAGCTTCTTCTGAGACAGCAAGTACGACGCCACGCTCAAGGAATGCAGGTTTATTGTAGAAAAAAAAATAGAGCTAGACCAGCACCTTTCAATTTCTATTTCTTAGCGCTGCTTTGTTTTCCGAGAAGTAGTAGAACAAGACTTTTTATTGCAGAACAAGTAGTAGGACTTTCTTCATCTTGTCCGAAAAGTGACATCTTCTTTTCTTGTACTCACTACAATTAGTATTTTAATTTTTGATGTTCCTTCCTACTTTATTGACTTTCTACAACGAACTTTCTTCATCAGATGATCGTGCTTCCGGACAACGACGGTCCACAAGTCACCGGGGGGTAAACGAGGATGCAACATGGCAAGCATTAGTGGAGGAAGCGAATGGCCGCCAAAAATGGCTTCAGAATCGAACACCGCTCGTGACTCCGAGGGGCGAAGTGACAGGAACTACAGAAAAGAACAAGCATGATACACCTAGAGCAGACCACGAGGATGAAATAACAGACGATCAAGAAGACCAGGGCATCGCAAGCTCATCTGCAGAGGTCAGTATTATTCCATGTACCAAATTGAGTAGTACAAGAAAAAGAACATCAAGTAGTGAAAATCAAGATCGTGAATCCACGACCAGGGAAGATGTTCTTGAGCAGTCTCAACGTCAAAATCAATGCAACAGGGAACAACATCTCGTCGATCATGAGGCAACATTTCCAACGAGATCACCTTCATCGTCTAGTGCTGCAACATCCTCTTCGAACTCCTTCAGAGGACGCGCTGGTGGAGGATCATCTTCGTCCTTTCGTGGAACTTGGCGTTGTAAAGAGTGTGGTAAGGAGTGTCTAACGTTACATGATGCGTCAATCTGTCAGGTATGTGGCAACCCTCTGAGACTGCACACCGGACCAGGCCACAGTCTCTGCCTGCACGGCCAGTACTGCGCGAGATTCGAACTGAGGATACGAAGTTCGTACTGCCCTTGCGGTCATAGTGCGGATAAACACGAGTGCGTATTTGCGAGCTCCCTTTTCGTCAAGAACAATACCGGAGCAGGAGGATATGATTGCACGATCCCTGCTAGTACTGCTCCACCTAGAACTGCTGGTGGTGGTACCTCTAGTCGTGGTACAGGTACTCCTAGATCCTTTTCCTTGGCAGGAGAGCGATCAGCGTCTGGTTGTCAAGCAAGTAGTGCTGCTTCGAGAAGAACAAGTCCTGAAGGCGTTACTGGTTTTTATTCTGCATCAAATGTTGGTGAAGATGTTGATGAAAGGGAGCATCATCGCCTTCCCGCTGGAAATAGCATCCAACGACCTCAGCAGAGTCTGCTCTCGCGCGGGCTCACATTGCTGACGGAAGGCGACAGTACAACTACTTGGAGAAGCAGTGGTCTTGCACGATCAGAACGAAGTACAGTAAATAACAATAAGCGGAAAAATCATCTGAATCCACCTACACCTAGGCCTACATCAATGCACGAAAGACGAGAAACAGAAGAACTAACACATCAGAAAGAGAAAGAACTACAGCAAGGTACCACTCGAAAGAAAAAAGTGGTTCAGGGTCAGTATCAAGCAAAATTGCATACCTTGATGAGTAAGTACAACATGAATCCATCGTGATTCTACATTATGCACAGTAAGCCCACTAGCAAGTCTGCGAGGTGTAACTTCGATGAAGTAGAACAAGAAGAAGAATAAAGGTCGCGGAGAATATTTGCTCCACCTTCTATCTGCACACTGCACAGCACCATCACTCTTATACACCACCACCAGTAAAAAAGGATCTTCAGGAGCCAGGAAAAAATGAACCAGGAGTAATTTAGAAATATATAAGAACAAGTCTACTTAACTACAACAACTCCAGATGAATAAGTAAATATAGAACTACTTAACTACATGCACCAGGTCAACGACCACGAGAGGAGGAAGATTCCTAGAGTCTCCCAGCAAGAATCAATCGTTTGACTGATACTGGTTGTCTCGGTGTGTTGAAGAGATCAAACTCTTCGTACAGGCAACGAATCTAGATGAACCTCGTCTTCTACCTTCTACGAGTATTGAGAGCACGATGATCTCTTGTTAGTTGTTCTCCTTCCCTTTGATACACGAGTTGGAAGAGAAAGAGGGCTGAGTTGAAGATGAGGGAAATGTTCAACAAGTGCGTGGCAATTACAGACGTGAATTGAAGAGAGACAGAAGCGAGGTTAAAAAAGACGAGCAAGGCTACTGACGACTACACTCGTCATGTCTCTACGTGTGTCTGCGAGTACTAAGTACGAGGAGAAGCATCACCATCATGAGCCGCTGTTCATCTGCTAACTCTGTCATAGTAAAACAATCTGGTGAGAGCAGAAGCAGATAAACATCAAAATCAACGAGGGATAAATTATCTGTGGCATGAGAGATTTTAATGATAACACAGCTGCATAGCGTAGAAACTCTAATGTCAAAGTCTAGTAGAAATAGTCTTGGTCCGGTCTCTTGATGCTGTTGTACTTCAAAACCAATCATGCATCAGTCAGGGATTTTTATCTGTGTCCTAATCTGTTAGTTGACTCGCGCTTTCTTCCCAAAAATGAATGTGCTTATACTATAGTTGTGAAGTAGACACTCATACAACTCACAAGAACTAACTAGCTGCACTAGCATAGCAGTGCATGATTAAGTTTTTTTTTCGGAGTATTAATTATCCTGGTCCCCCCTCGGCCTTCCACCTGTACGTATGTTCGACGTTGCACCAGTAGGATGACACTTGTGGCACTTCCTGATATCATTATCAATGTCGTGATTCAGATTCTCATTTTTATATAATTCTCTAAGGCCTCTAAAGCTAACTACCGTATGGTATCTACACAAATAAGGTAAACTACTGGTTCAGTGCATGTCTTTTTCTACAACAAGAATGACCACAACTACGTACCTGCTACAACTTCTACTGCCGATGATGTCGATGTGCTGACCTGCTTAATCATGCTCTAGTACAACTAGTTCAAGATGGTCCTACTTAAATTTTCGGATTTATTCATGTAAAAAGAATATCCAATTATAGAAAGGACATCATGGAAGAATCCACGTAGCACGACCATATTATCGTCGTGAACACGAACTGCAAAATGGAGCAAGAGCAGATGATGTTCTACCCCTCGTCGGCCTCCACCAGCGCCACGGGAACCCCGCCAGTGACGAGTACCAACAAGATGAACAGTACAACTGCGGGGTCGTCAACATCAGTCCAGAATTTCAGCGAGCGTAGTCGGCGATTTCGGCAGTTCAAAAGTGGCTTGGACGAAAATGGAGAACTACGAGAACGCAGATGGGGCGCGCAGGTGGTACTTCGTCGTGCGGACAAGCGAGAGGAAATCGCACACAAAAGGCGCATGCGAGGAAGTGACGTCAACATCGAGAATCCCAGCACGACCACGTATTGGCCTACCGCATCCTGGACCTCTACCAAGAACGGCTACGCCTCTTCTACTTCTACCATGAATGGAAACTACTACCTGGTGCAGAACCAGAATGGTAATGGGGGACATCAGGGAAATGCTGAAACTCGAAATGGAACCGTTGACGCTGATGAACGGCGTATGCGTGAGTTGTTGGATCAAAACGTAAATAACTCTGACTCTGGCACCACTGAACATGCGCTAACGAAGACGAATCGAGGAACATCAAGTAGGTTTGGAGATGTACTAGAGCCATCAGACAGGCAATGGCAAAGAGAGAAAATGAACACAAGTCCCAGCTTTGAAACTACTTTTCTTGGTGCAAATATTAACACCGTGACGTCGTCGCCTGACGAAACCAACATAGACTATGACGAGGACGAGGAGAATTGCAGCATGAATGCAAATAACCTGATCGAGGATGGTGGAGGACAGTCCGGAACTGGATACGGTGTTCTTGGGACCACTGGGCCTTCTTGGGCGTTATTACCTGAAAACCGAGTCTTGAACGGTGGACTGCAGGGACTGCAGATTTGGTGCCACAATGCCACTATATCGGAGCTCGCGTACGTTCTCAAGCTAGGAGCACATTTCGTCACGACAAAACCAGAAAATAATATATCGATCAGGGAGCACTTTGCAGAACTGTGGACTAACTACAATCTTCGACAGATGAATCGTACGATGCAGCCTAAGCCTAATGCAACTTCTGGCTCTACTAGCACGACCAGGTGGAACAACTTCTCAAAAATGTTGGGAGGACGACAGCAAGAAGCGATGATGAAGGCAAAATCCGGGCGAGGACCAGGACAAGGACGGCCACAAGTACCCAGAATAATCGGTACGGATGTCAACATCTTTGAACCTACGTCCCGCACCCACCAGAGCCAGACCTCTACTAGTGCCTCTACCTCTTGGGAACAAGAAGATGAGCAGCTCCAGCTTTATATTCGTACACCAGGTGGTAGCAATCGGAGGTTGTCCTCACTATCCACCTCAACTAGTACAACATCAGCGTCGCCAAAGGGAGGCGGACACGAAGTCGAACGAGAACAAGTTAGTAATCCGACCACCGAAATGACCGAGACGGACAACATGTTCTTGATGAACAGGAGGAATAGTTGTACCAAGAACCCGACGTCCAATGAGAATGACCACATACATCCTCATCCTCCTAGAATACCATGGCCCTTACTGAATTTCGCCATAGTAGAGACGCGACAGAGACTCGCTTGCGATCGGGATCATGTTCCTATCCAACCGTGCGTGGATGCAGGGATGGTCCCAAGTCTCATGGCGCTACTCCTCACGGTCGATGACGCGCAGTTGAGGTTTGAGCTCTGTTGGGCGTTGACCAACATTTCTAGCGGCACTGCGGCGCAGACGGCAGTGGTGGTTCAAGAAGGTGGACTCAAAGCTTTTCTGCAGTTGCTGCGATCGCCAGTGGCGCTGGAACTCGATGGTATGATTGATGTTTGTAGAGAACAATAACCACTAGATTGAATTGAATAGATTGAAGATTCGATAGATTCTTAAAATTTCCTTGGATGAGATTGAGAAGTTGTACTAGTAGCTAGTAAGAAGTGTGTAGACTCCGACTCGGGCATTCCCACCAAGAAGTAGAACTTTGATAGTATCTTTTGTCCTACACCACGTCCACCCCTGCAACCTGTCAGGTCGCATCTGCGACCAATGTGTGTGGGCCCTGGGCAACCTCTGTGGAGACGGTCCTCGTTACCGCGACGTCTTACTTGCAGATGGTGGGATGTTTTTACTGAGGGAGCTGTGTCTGCAGTTAGGCGGACTGCCATGGCCGAGGGACAAGAAGCTGGATCTCCAGAGGAACTTGATGTGGACCATGGGCAACATGTGTCGCGGCACCCCGAAACCAGCACTAGCTCGCGTAGGACCCGCGGTTGATCTTTTCGCTACGGTCCTGTGTCGAGATTTGATACAACAGCATCAAGGTGCAGATGATGAATTGCGAGACGCAGAAGCGTTGTACGAAGCACTGTGGGGCTTGAACTACCTGCTGCAGCCTCACATCACCCGCGCGGAACTGCGAGAGGCTGCATCGCATCGAATATGTCTTGCCGCGCAGAAAAAACTCATCTCTCGACTCTTGAACAGGAATATACCGAAAAGTCGCTTTGCTGACGTAGACATGGATGTTGAGCAAGTAGAGAGCATTCACCAGAAGAACAAGGGTGATCAGGATGAAACGATGGATATCATCGAAGAATCAGATCGAGCATGCATGGCGTTTTTGGATGTCTCTCCGACTGGGACCGTAGTTGCATTAGGAAGCAATAGTTGTACGAGCACAAGCACAAGTACAACTACATCAGAACCAGAAGTAGTTCTACTTCAGCAAGGCCACGGTGGAAGCTGTAGTTCATCCTTGCTCGTTGTCGTAGCTCTTTCCACCTACTTCGTAGAGAACATCAAATACCGATGGGTCACGACGAAGATCCTTACGTCTCTGGCTTCGGCGCCGAGTGGTCAGCCGCTTGAGCGAATGCTCGAGGCCTGTCCGGCGCTCCTCCCCGCAGTTTTGGCATTCCTAACTTTTCCAGAGGGTTCAAGTCTTGACGAGCTGCTAAAAAACAAGCGAGGAATAAACTCGAGAAGCAAGGAAACTCGTGAGGATGCAGTTCACGATGTAGTTCGTATGGAACATGGGGATGGGGCGGATGGCCCAACAACGACCACAACAACATCTTCTACTCCTGCTCCTGTAGCGCCTGGTCGAGGAACTACGCCTGCTGGTCGTGGTGAGTTTGGGAGGTCTCCAGCAGCGCACCAACAGCCCGTGCATGTGGTAGATGGCTTTCGATTTTCAGCGTTGGGGTATTCGATGAAGAAATTGTGGCAGCATAAGCGGGAGTGCTGCTATCTCCTCAGAGCAATAGCCACATCAGATGTCGACTTCGCGAGCAGTGCCTTTTGGCATGTTGACTCATCTACTACTTTACCCTCTCTGCGTATACTGCGAGATGTTGCGTCTGGCATATTGTGCCAGGACGTGACATGCAGAAGAGATTGCGCTTTCGTGCTAGGGTATCTCATTTTGCAAAAAGCAGGGTCCTTCATGGACGACCTTGATCACAGAGCGGTTTTGCTAGGAGAAAAACCAGGACGAGGCGGAGGCCGAGGGAAAGAAGAGCAAAACGAGAACGAAAACGCAGCTATAGAAGTAGAACCATTTTTAGGAGGATCGGAATCGGATATTGGCAGGATGAAGAACGGAAATCTGGCGGCCCGGACTGCAGATGGTGCTGATCCTTTGCTTTCCGTGTTCGAAGCATCTTCATTATCAAGTAGTGGAGGAGAGAACGACACGCCGCCTCTGGTCTTTGATTTTACCCCAGATGCTCCCAAGCAAGATGAACAGCAAGAAGTGATGACAGACGGACAGCATGGAAACAGCGGGTATAAGTATAACATACCTTTGGCTTTAGATCAGGACAAAGACGACAGCACAGACGATCAGGAACTGAGTTTCGTCTCAACATGGGTTACGCCACCCTTGAATCGCGAAGGCTTTTCATCCATAGCGCATACAGTATCAGGTCTGGGCTTGCCTGGTCGCGTTTTTGGTAACTATGTCTTAGCGAAGAACGGCAGTGCCAGTGCTGGTGGGGGTAGTATAAGACACAATGGCTATCATGGTGGTGCGATGGGTGCGGTCAGGGGAGGAGCTGCTGGAGGTGGGAATCCAATCATGTTCGTCGCAGATCCGGACATCATACACGTTTCGCTCTGTGCTTTGGAGGTGCTCTTTGATGTTTCTGTCTTGCATGTCTTTTTCTGTCAACAAGGCACTGCTAATATCGGAGGTGGAGTGGACCACTCATCTTCTAGTTGTAGTACCCAGCAACCACAGGAACCTCAATCAAGTCGAGGTAACATGAGCACCAGGTCGTGCCTGCCCTTACCAGGTCGACAAGAAGCTCTTCGAAATTGGCAGCACTTTGAGGAAGCCGACATCCGGAGACAACTTTCTGATCTCTTATTATGGTCAGCTTTTTTCCATCTTCGTCCTCGGCATCTTCTTGGTCCTCTTTTGCCCTGTAGCATTCCCATGAATGACAAGGAGAAAGAGGACGAGATGAGAGGACCGAGATGGGTCGGGCCTGACTCTAATCCTATCCGACACGGGTTCCGCACTCTACACTTCCGCCTCTGCTCTGCATGGCTTACGGCGGAACCGATATCACATTCCCAAAACTGGAGAGCAGGAAACCATTCTCCAGACAGGCACCCGTTTATTAAGGCTGTAGCTAATCCATCTTTGGAGGCATCCTTGAGACGTATGGGGGAGCATCACAAGGGAATGCTCCCCCATATTTTTCAGAGATGGACTTTTTGAAAGATGAACTACGGACAGTTCTAAGTTTACTTGCAAAGATGGACCTCTGGGGAAGGGTCGCTGGGTCTCATATTCTCAACGGAGCAGGAGGACCTCCAGGCCCAGCAGGACCTGGAGGTGGAGAGCAGTTCTTGTCATCTTGTCTTGATATTGATTCACATCTTGCTCCCCTCTCAGCACCGCCAGCCTTCGCCGCGACATCACTTTACGGCTTCCTAGAAGCTTTGAAGGACGAAATGGACGCACAATACGATCAACATCTTGTACCCGATCCACGTGATGACGTATGCGACACTTTTGGTTTTTGATGATAATCATGATGTTGCTCTCCTTCGGTCCGTAAATTTTTTCAACAATGTTGAATCCACCCATCCCTTGTACTCTTTCCGTTTATCGACTTCCCCCTATTCCTTGGTATGTAGATGATGTACTAGTAGTACTTACTTATGTTGATAATTCGCGTTGTATAAGTATAATACTTATTTCGGTATTATAGTAGTACTATAGAATTTTAGAGTACGCATTGATTTTGAAGATCCTTTATCTATTTGACATTCATACTTCGATGAGCATCGATCCTGAATGAAGCACTTTCATGTGTGATGACGGACCCCATTCACCACTGATACAACTCATGAGCAGAAGGCTCCCATTCCACCATTGATACAAAGCGTGCCCTTCTTGGGACGCTTACCCGTCATGTTGTGGGTAAGTATCCTTTTTCTTCCGTACTCGTCTACAGTACTAGAAGCGTGTTCGACGTGTTTCGATTGTGGCAGATGAAGAGTGTTTCTGAACATCATTCTCGACGAAGACAAGACTTGCTCCACTTCGTGTTTTTGAAGATGCTACACAACTTCAACATGTCAGATTCTGACGCAGTAGAAACGCAACATTTTTAAATGAAGTGTATTGATGATCATGAAAGATGCGTATGATGAGGATCCGAATGACCACAAGGACATTCTGTAAATAGTACCGACTAGTACATAAGCCTTGTTTCCTTCATCCTGAAAGTTTCAAGCAGGGGACTCTTTTTCTTCAGGATTTTGTTTTCTTCTCTTTGTCCTCGTTTGGCGAGAGATTTACTTATTTTGTTGTTTTGATTGGTTGTCGTTTACTTGTTTTGCAATCATGTGTCTGTATAAGAAGCCAGAAGTTGTAATAGATGTAATTGGAATTGCAACATGAAAAGAATTTTTACTATTGGGAAACTAAAAGCACCACTCGATATGTTCACGCTCGACGTCATCCACCTCATCACTTTCTTATTCGTGTTGTTTAGGTCGAATACTTCTAGGAGTATAATCTGTATAATCTTCAACGACGTGGTGAGTTTTGCTTTATTTGTATCTTCACGTCATGCAAGCAAGAAAAAACCGTTAAAAAGAAGTGCATGTATTTATTATAGAGTAGTCCGTTTTTCGAGTTACGGGTTGCTCGAGTTCTCTCGAGTTGCCACGAGTTGCCGAAACTCACACGCCCAGTCCGGCGCGAGTTGCTAACGAGTTCCTCTCGGCAGCTTGCCACTTTGAAAGCGCAGCACCCCGCGGCGGTATGGCGGGCCAAGATGCCGCGGAGTTCAGGGGGAAGCTCGTGGCCAGTTGTTTCGTGGCAGCTTTGCCGTTTGTATTAAAGAGACACGCCCCGGCCGAGCTCTTCGGGGCTTGTTGGGCTTAGCGAAAGTATGAAGGCGAGCCCGGGGCCTTTTTTGTTTGAGTGGCGCGCGCGCAAGCCTTGTGAAGTGCAGCGATTCCCTCGCGGTGTCGGTGTCTCTGCATGGTCGTGCGCTGATGTCGGTCGCGATCTGGCTCTGTTTTTTTTGCTGGTGAGTGGCCAGCTTGTTCGGCTTCTTGGGGCCCCTGTTTGCGCTGTAGTGGGCTCACTGAGTAGCGCGCCGCCTAGTGGGTAGCGGTAGCATCACAAGCAGGGCCCCCCTGAGTAGTGTAGACGCATCGGGATCGGAATGGAGTAGGTTTATTTGTGTGCTTGTTTTATAGGACAGCAGCTATACCAGGCAGGCGCGCTATCTTAGTAACACAAAACTACGAGGGCAGGGCCCTGGGTGGCGTTGCTCTTGTCTGCCCCGCGCATGCAGCGCCTCGCAGAGAAGAGGGGGCGCTACTGGAGGCGTTCGCTTGTGAAGGTGGTTTGCGCCCCTGGGCAACGTATTTGACGCTTCGAAGATAGTGCGCCCGAAGGGCGCAGCGAAAATTATTTTGGTATGGAACTCGTTCAACTCGAGCAACTCGAGCAACTCGACCCGATATCGGGCGCAAAAAGTCTAATTCTATTATTAGTACTATATATAATTTACCCCTGATTAGAAGCACGATCATCACGAATACGAAAACGATTAGCGCACGACCGGCTGCATCAGCAACATGGCGTGGTCACGTCGCGGAGGCCTCTTCTACTTTCTGGGAACAAGAACCAGTTTCTGGGTCGCTCGAGCAGTACAGCCACCAACCAGAAGCAGAGCAGCTGAAGATCATCTTGATCTTTCAGGGGAACAAGATGCCGACAGCGAGACGATAGCAGGAGCCTCTTCAGCACGAGTTAAGCTTAAGCTCCTCACAGTATTATAGTACATAAATTTATGCAGGAAGTAGAGTTACTTAGAATTAGAGCAGGCACGCGACCAGTCGCGACGACCACACCAGTATGATAATCAGGACAAGCATATCTACTCACGTAAGAGTCTTAACGAACGCGAACCCCACACTCCATAAAAGTGAGTAGGCTTTTTAGGGTAATGAATATCATCTGGATGCTGTATCATTTGGATGGGTGTTGAAGAACACTCTGGTCGCCAACTATACAGTTCTAAGATCAACATGATTTTTAATGAAAGCTCAGCAACTACATTCTCACCAACTATACAGTTCTAATATGAATGAAAGCTCAGCGGATGACAGCAGACCACAGATAACGTCGCAGGAGGCTGACTCGGTTGTCACTGGAGGAGCCTCTGCGGAAACGACCGTTGTACCAGCGGACGATGATCACCTTTATTCAATGTCTGGTGCTCAACCTCCAGGTGGATATTTTTCAGGAATGCCTCAACCTCAAGCTGCGCCTCTTCCTGCGATGATGCTTCAGACGGCTCAACAAGTGCTAGATCCATCTGCACCAATCGTGTCTCAACCTCAGCCGCCATATGAACCTGATGGAGTAGCTCAAGCTCAACAGCTACAGCACAGTGCAGCGCAACCTCAACAGCACCACGGTGCAGCAGGAGCGACATATCAACCTCAAGAAGGGTTCCATCAAGTTCAGCCGGGCATGTGGCCGATGCCTCTACCTTTCATGTTTCCTGGCAGTACTGCAGTTTCTTGGCGCCCTGTTAATACTGCCGCTTGGCATCCTCACGGTCGTCAAGAGTCGAATTCTGAACCTGCTGCTCCTGTGAACCCTGCCCCTTGGCGGCCTCACGCACAGGAGCCTCCGTCTGAAGCTGCTCTGATGAAGGAGTTCCGCGACGAGTGCGTGAACCTCTGGCGTCACGACACCCGACGTCACATACATTCTAGAGTAGTTGTTAGGGCTCATATTTATATCATAGTAAGTCTACGGGTGCAGCTAATTGATTGAAAGGGTGGTGGCATATAGTCCTAACGCAAAAAAAAAATGCAGCTAGTAGGAACAGCATCTTCATCAGGGATACACAGATGACATGTGAGTGCGACTTGACCACAACCCCTGACTACGCAGGCTCGTCTGACTCTTAGTAGAGCTAGACATCACAGCCATCACAAGAACTCATTTCTTATCAATTATGAACTTTGTGCGAGATTAATTCTATGGTATTGTATAGACCGGAAAACAAGAATTTGCTATCTTCTAATTGTAATACCGATGAAGTTCGAGAAATAAATCAACGTCGGTGGAGAATGCCACAGAAGGAAGAATTCTCCACCCCCCAGGTGCACCCAAGAGAAGTCTTGAAAAGCCTGCAAAAGCTGACGTATATACCCGGACGCAGGTATCGCGGTTGGATCGTAAAATACTGCCGTATGGCGTTTGATGAGAACCAGACTGAACACGACTAGTTGTACTAGACTCCTAGAAGTTGTAACTAGTTGTAGGACATGATCAAGCACGCCGATCAGTTTCAGGATGTACTTCTTGCTGTTGTATTTTCAAAAAAAATTCTCAAAACAAGGAACTGTTGTAGTAAATGAAACTCAACGAAGAATTATCGAAACTAGGCACCTCGAATCGTTCCATCGATGAAAGATCTTCGACTTCTATCGAGGGACCTACTTACGTAGGTACTATTGCTATTGCTCATGCTCCTCGAAAAAAATCATGCTCCTTTACGATAACTGTACAGGTCAACGACAACGCCTAAACCACTAAGCGAGCTACCTTCACACTCTTTGGATAAAGATGCTATTTCATTTTCGAAGAATATGAAATGTTAACGTACTACTAGGCTCTTCTACAATCTACATCTTGCTTTTATTATAGAAGATTCATTGCCTATATTTCCCGGCTCTTAATATCTCTCGCTTACCAGTTATTATAGAAGAGTCGTCTCTTAAATTCTAAGGCTCTTGAGAATGTTAATGTATAAGTATATGTACTAAACTCTACCTTCTCTTCCTCTAAAATTGCTTTCAAAGGATTAGCGTGGATCCAGCCAGACTCTGAATTTTTAAAAGAAACGAACTGGGATCATTCTGACCTCGGCGATGTGCAGTTTCATCAAAGCGCTCTTGTTTTTGAACCCGCGGAATCGGCATGTTACCAGAATATGCTTATGGGTTTCAACATGACGTTGATCATGTTAGAGCAACAGTTGCTACTTCTTAGATGAAATGTTATATTTTTTATTACGTAATACGAATAGTAGAAAAATTGCAATTTTTGCTTCTCCTTCTGCTTCTATCAGGTTCTTGTACTAATTTAAGCTCTACTACTTGCTCTACTTTTCTTATATACACGACGATTTCGTTTAGGTCGTTCTAATTTAAGCTCGTGCTCTACTTTTCTTATACGCGACGACTTCGTTGAGCATGAGCATGATAAGTTGGGATCAATGTTGCGCATCATGGGGGTTGATTTTCATGTTCTAAGTTTTCTGCGAACGCGAGAGTAGAGCTTGCAGAGGTTCTTGCGGCGTTGGGGAGGCCGATGGCTGATTCCAGAGTTGCGAAAAAAGGCAGTCAGAGCGGACGGTACTAAAAACTTAATTTGTTTCAAGATCAACTACATCTTCCGGATCTGCGTGCATTTTCTACTCGGAGATATTACACGTTGAAATAAAAATGTTGAGATTTTTTGTATTTTATTCAAATTAGGCAGCTTGCGGAAGAACATGAACCACCTTCACCGCCAACTACTATCAACTTCAACATATTGAACTACCACACATGATGAAGATAAACTTCCCATAAAGATAGAGCTAACTCACACTCGGGGGATCGACAGCACGACAACATAAAGACAAGAACATGATCAAATCGTTGCTATGTCCCATGTTGAATGGGCACACGACTCGCTACTACTACTAACTTATACAACTGCAGAGCGCTTCACACTAGGTCGCTGTCGCTTTCATTCAGCATAGAAGGTTCAGACGTGGTGTCAATTGGGTCTATGCCTGGCAACAGGAAAGCTTCGCGAATAGACGGCGTGCTTGCTGGTATCGGTAAGGGTCCGGGTTCGGGTAAAATAGCAGTTGAGTTTGAGTTGAAAACGACCCAACTCAACCGTGTTAAAATCGAAGCGGATCGAGTCACAGGAGCTTTCGGAGGGAAGCCTCTTAGAGTGGCGCTCGTTGCGGGTATAATAGAAGCAAAGTATTTAAGATTTTGAACTCTCACTCGTCCAGAAAAAAATCATATCACGACGAGAATTCATCGAGATAATAATCACTTTGAAGATGTTGAGCAGAAGTAGTTGGACATGCAGTACATGTTGTTGTTGTTGAGAATCGGGTTCGAATGTTTTGTCCTAGAAATAGAATCTTCATCTTATATATCCAAGCGCTACTGATTCTAATCCCTATATTGTATAATAAATTTTCTTTTCTGGCTGAGGCGTTATTTGTGATGGGTGAAGATAGATCAACATTTTTCAGTTCTCTCCCTGTGGTGATCATGCTTGAAGATATTGTTCTCGTTGTTGAACCATCTTTCCTTGATGTCGGACCACGATCAGATCAATTGTCTTCCGAAGGACGAGGACTGCAGCCCACACACCCTTCGTGCACCGCGGGTTGGCCTGTAGGTATGCCGCTTGTTGATGAAGCAGAGGCCGCAGCTCTCTCGTCGACTCGACTTCAACGTAGTCGTACTAGTGGAGCTGCGTCAGAAGATCACATGGAGGTGGTGGAGGGTGCACAAGATTATGTGGAAGCAACTGTGAGGTCTGGGCAAAGTACGCCCGAAAACTTCTACCCGCAATACACACAACGAGGGCCGGCACCCGGTGACGTGGCGGAGTTGTATGGCTAGAAGTTCTTGTACTCTTTTTACAACCTGCTGCTTGTGGTTCGTGTGCGATTCAGCAGTAGCGTGATCTGATCATAGTCAATCCTTTACAGCTGAAGATAGAAGTAGTTCGTTTTTGTTTCAAGAGAGGTAGCCTTCTAGCCATGTATACTATAGTAGCTACTTCGGCATCAGATGAGTTGTATCGCTAATTTCCCCAGAAGAGGTATTTACGGCCAAGCCTGCCCTTGTTGAGTAGAGGCACTACACCGAATCCGAATGACGATCCTGTGGTGAAGCTTCAAAACTCCGTCGGGAGCCCGGCTGCTTCAAGCTCAAGCAGCGTACATGCGCAAGGAAATGCCTTTGTTCCCAGTCCCACTAACCCGATTTCTCCCGAATTCCTACAGCATCAACTCCGTTCCTTGGGAATATTACAACTACAAGCTGCTGGAGGAAGACTTCATCAACTCCAGCAAGAACAGCAGCAACAAGCACAGGGATCACAAGTGCAGCAGCAGCAGCAGCAGCAGCAGCAGCAGCAGCAGTCTGGAGGAGCCGACAACTATTTGCAGCAACAGTCGATGCACCACCATGGGCAGCAGCGAGGAGGAGGACAGCCAATGATTAAGGCTCAAGGTATTTCATATCTTCTACAAGAACAAGTCATGATTTGTTTCTCGCAGAAGTTAGTTGTTTCCTTCTTGGGATCATGAAGAAGTGTCATTATGAAGAAAAGAAATGAAGAAACGTTTTGAGCTCTAACCGGATGATGTACACACCAGGATCACTTACGCCAGGAGGTTGTAGTGGGAACGCCTTAGCAGGGTCTCCATCTTCTGCGTCCTGCTCTCCACCTATGGCATCATCAGCGGGTAGTAGTACAATGCAGGGCATGGCAGGAGCTCCTGCTTCTCCTAGTATGGCTATGGGGATGATCATGATGAGCCAATGCGAACATCCAGGAGTTATTTCTCCTCCAACAAGCCTCTCTCCGATGTCGTTGTGGGGACAACACGCATGCGCGTGGACCGCGATACCTGCTCAGGCTGAAACTGCATACATGATGAGTATGCAACAAATGTTACAGCAGCAGGCACAGCATCAACAGAGTAGTTCGTCATCTACTAGAAGTCGACCGGCAGCGCATGAAAATCCAACGTCGCAAGAACAAGACGGAATACGGCAGTCGATGGCCACTACTCTATCAGGAGCTGGAGCTGGTACAACCAGCCACCAGCAGGGGAGGACTATTGCTATGCGCCCACAACCGTTCTCGGCGTCGTAAAACATCACGGGAACAACGAGTACTTGCACTACCATTAATTTCTCACCACGACAACTCGAAGTCGTCCTTAGAACACTACATTCAACAACACATCATCAATCTCCATCTTCGGTTGATGTTCCTGCGATCATTCAATGGGCAATCATGCAACGACTCCTGGCATGAAGTTGAAGAACCCTAAGAACGCGACGGCAAAAGGTGTTGGCTTTCTACCCTCCATGCCTCAACTGCTTCGCTTAACGCAGAAAACGCCAGCTAGAATCATGATGGAGCTGCTTTGAAAGTTGTCCCCATCACTATGTTGGTAAAGATTGTATGCTCGGAAAGCGGACAACTACGCTTGCGTTTGGTCATGATAGATGACATGATAAAGAAGCGTCCTTGTTAAGCAGGTCGTCCCGTCGTGAGTGGACGTTGATGAGGCCTTGGAGCCTCGATTAACGAACAAACATCGCTCCGATTTATACCTGCTTGACAACATGCACTTTTACATCATGTCGTGTACGAAAAAATTTATTGGGCTTAACAGCTCTGGCACTCTTCTCACGCATACCACGATAGCATTGAGTTCTTCTTCAGCGTCTTCCAGCTTGTTTTTTTTTCTATGTTATTGAGAGGACCTGGTGATCTTCGATGCTATTGAGTAACAATATTTTCACACACAAGGAAGACTTGAGCTTAAACTCAAGAAGTGGATTAATGACTTACTAATGAAAGCGGCTACAATCTAAACAATAACAATTCATCACTCTTCATACTATGGGTATGGTACTTCGTGCTGAGTTGATAGCATCAGCATGTGGGTACGTAGTTATTAAAGTAAAAACCTTTATCAAAAGCAAAACTTGCGATATCTTCAATGTTTTCCACTGCGATTAAACAACCAGGAGGGCAATTTGAAATAACAAGTACTCTGTCGTGCAATGCTGACGCACGAAAGGTATTCAGAAGCACTTCAGAGTCAGTTACTTTTGTCTGACGAAACTTGATTTTACCTTACATTTTTCGTCGCGTCTCTTATTTTTTATCAAGATAAATTGCTTTAATCAAAATGAAGGGCCACGATCCACTTCGCCACGACCATGCTATTCAATGTGGGGTATCTTATCTATCATAATGATCCTCGAAGGAACAGGACGACGACCGCGCTCCTGGTGTGTTGTTGTAATTTTTTCAAGCAATGACAGATGGAGAGACCAGGTCATAATGTACCTAGTACTGTGCGACTGTCTGAAGGACGCCGTTAAGTGCGTGCTTCCTGCTGGGCGGTTGATGTGTGTGAGTTTTCGTGTACTTAATACTCTCTGTTCTTGTTGCCCTTGCTCTTTGCAATTTTGATGCAACCACCACAAGAGACTGTAAGGAAAACGTAAATGAATTAATGTGTCGCTTACGTGGTGATGAAGTCATCGTCCTGGCGAACTTTTACACATGACCACCAGGACGATGACTTCATCACCACGAAGTAAAACGGAACTCCTGAGAAAAAAGATGAAAATCCTCATCAATTTTCCCGAGTACATCAAATCGAAATCCTCTAGTTTGCTTTCCGTGACGTAGTTCCTCTTGTCTTTCTTGTGATGTTGTCTTGTGATGTTACAAACAAGAGCCAGGGCCGCAGCGCCTCAGAGTAATCTAGTAGTTCGCCCGAACAACCCAGCTGGGCAAGAGTAAGACGAACCAAAAAAAGCAACTTGTGGCGCCCTGTTAGTCCCCCCCATAGCGTATGGCATCTAGATCGAGCGTGACCCCTCTAGATTTTCATCCGTTTTGTTTTACCCTCAGGTAGTACCCAACAACGCGAGTACCTCCGCCGGAGGATCTTTGACGACTAGATCGACCCCGTCGGTGCTCTTCCAACGTGCATTGATTTTGCTAACATCCTAGGGCATTACTCATGTCTGTTTGCATCGGTAGCCCTGGCTCTGCTCGAGCCTGTTTCGTCCCGGACACCGCGGCATGGCCGCAGAGCCGCGGATCTTAAACCTTAAACTTTGAGGCTTGAAAAAGAACCTACTTACCAAGCTTACTTTATTCAGCCTGATCTAGTACTAGCCTCCACAAGCTTCGCCCGGCTTCAAGTTAGTTAAGCACTTTTCTGCAGCCTCCCACGGGCTACAGCCGCTAGAGTAGAGACAGCCCGCGGGTGAGCTGTTGCACCTTACGAATCAACTACGACAAGAGCCGAGCGCCGACGGTGGCTGACTCAGACCGATGCGCCGACTCATGTGCAGGGCATTGCGCTGCCTTCGGTTTTTTTATGAGATTGCCGGGGGGGTCATGCAAATTCTTAAGAATTTGCAAGACCCCCACGGCAGTCCAACGAAAATACCAGACGAGGGCCACCAGACACGCACAAGAATCCGCAAGCCCCAACGCACGCAAACGCCTCGCGGTGGCGCCAGGCAAGAACGGGCGGCGGCTTTAGCGGGCCAAACAAGACAAAGCATAAGCAACGCAGGGCCGCGCTGCTCGGGTCTCTCTACGCGCTTACACCTGGCGGGGCTTCTTTGTTTCGTCAGATGTCTCTCGTCAGAAACAGGCGGGCGCACTTCGCGGGGGCCTGGGGCGTCGCGCTTCGGGTTGTGGCTGAAGCCTCTTGACTGGCTGACGTCTTTCGCCAGGATGGAGGCTGAGGCCTTCCATCAGACTGATGCCGTTCGTCAGACCAACGCGCTGCGCCAGGCTGGCGGCCTTCGTCGGACGACAGGCCGGCGCCCTTCGGCGGACGTCGTGGGTCAGGCTGAGGCTCTTCGTCAGGGTCGGGCGACGTCTCTCGTGAGGCTGACGCCTTTCGTCAAACTGAAGCGCTTTGCTTGGCCGACATTCCTCGCCGGGCCAAGACTCGCGCCTTTGGTCGGGTTGATGGTGTCTTGCTTCAGGTTCAGCATGGCGCCGCTGGTTCGTCAGGCTGATGCACTGACCAGCCAGGTGACGCCTCTCGCCAGACCGGCGCACTGCTTCGCCAGGCGTCTGCCTTGCGTCGGAAGCGGAACAGGCTGTGTGGGGCCTTTCTTCGGGCTGCGGATGTCTTTCCTCCCTTCGTGAGATTGATTCTTCTGCCCCTTCGTCGGACTGACGAACGTTTTTCGCGAGACTGACGGACCGCGTTCGTCGGACTGACGTCCTTCGTCAAAGGTCTTCGCCATCCTCGTCGAGGTAGGGCTTCTCGCCACAGGTCGGGCGGCAATTTTTCTGGCAGAGGTCGTTCGTCAGATGTCTGCCGTCGCGGGTCTCTTGTCTTGTCGGAGGTCTTTGGTCCAGCGGTCGTCTCTGGTCGTCCAAAGGTCGCCTTTGGTCCAACGGTCGCCTTTTTGGTCCAACGGTCGCCTTTGGTCCAAGGGTCGCCTTTGGAACAAAGGTCGTCGCACTTTGGTCCAAAGATCGTCTTAGCTTACTTTGGTCCAAAGGTCGCCTTACTTTGGTCCAGCGGTCGGGGTCGCCTTACTTTGGTCCAGCGGTCGGCTTACTTTGGTCCAGCGGTCGCCTTAAAAGGTCGCCTGTGGTCTGCAGGTCGTCTGTGGTCCAGAGGTTGCCTCTGGTCTGAGGGTCGTCTTTGGTCCAAAGGTCGGCTTTGGTCCGGAGGTCTGTCGTGGTCCAAAGGTCGTCCGTGGTGCAAAGGTCGTCTTTGGTCCAAAGGTCGCCCTTGGTCCACAGGTCGCGTCTGGTCCAAAAAACGCCTCTGGTCCAAAGATCGTCTGTCCACAGGTCGTCTGTGGTCCAAAGATCGCCTCTGGTCCAAGTATCGCCTTCGGTCCAAGGATCGTCTTACTTTGGTCCAAAGGTCGCCTTATTTTGGTCCAAAGGTCGCCTCACTTTGGTCCAGAGGTCGCCTTACTTTGGTCCAAAGGTCGTCTCCTCTTACTTTGGTCCAAAGGTCGTCTCCTCTTACTTTGGTCCAAAGGTCGCCGCACTTTGGTCCAAAGGTCGCCTTACTTTGGTCCAAAGGTCGCCTGTGGTCCAAAGGTCGCCTGTGGTCCAAAGGTCGCCGGTGGATATGGTCCAAAGGTTAAGGTCGCCTGTGGTCCAAAGGTCGCCGGTGGTCCAAAGGTCGCCTTTGGTCCAAGGGTCGTCTTGGGTCCAGCAATGGCAAAGGTCGTCTTGGGTCCAAAGGTCGTCTTGGGTCCAGGGGTCGTCTCTGTTCCAAAGGTCGCCTTTGGTCCAGAGATCGCCGCTGGTCCAACGATCGTCTTTGGTCCCGAGATCGCCTTTGGTCCCAAGATCGTCTCTGGTAGGTCCAACGATCGCCTTTGGTTCAAAGATCGGACCAAAGATCGTCTCTGGTAGGTCCAACGATCGCCTTTGGTTCAAAGATCGGACCAAAGATCGCATTCAGTCTGAGGGTCGCCTTCGGTCCAAGGATCGCCATTGGTCCATAGGTCTGGGGTCCAAGGTGTCCCTGGTCGAAGGTCTTTCTTCGGCTGTTTCTCTTTGGACTTCTCTCGCCAGCTTGCGCCCCTACCCCCGTCGGGCATTTTTCTGGCTTCTTTTCTGGTAGTCTGCCACGGGGCCGCAACGTGAACTCCAACAAGAAAACGGCCGGAGACTATCGGGCTTAGGAGTGAGGGGAAAGGGCAGGAGGCTATGGGCAATAGCTTCGCGGCAGGAGGCGACTAATCTCCGGTGGGTTAGGCGGGGAGTTTTATGGCGGCGTAGATTAATAATATAGATTAATAATATAGATTAATAATATAGATTAATAATATAGATTATTTTTTTGTAGATGTAATCAGTAAATAGAAGGTTGACACTATGAACATTGAACGTGGGTGTCTTTTATGTGTTATGACGTGATCTCGGTTGTTGTGTCTGTTGCTCGGATTGACTCTGTCTTGTAACAGTCGGTTTCCCTTTATCGGTGGTCGCGCAATTATTCTTTGAATTGTGATGATGTAAGACTCGTGTATCTCCATGTCTCGTTTTATAGATCGCTCGCAACTGTGCTATTCACTGGTTGTCCTCGCTCGTTCTAGTTACTTACGTTTGGCGAGAGGAGAGAGTGAGAGGTGCGATTCTCTCGTTGCCTGCCTTGCTTTGCCGAACTATGCTTACTCTTTCTTTACTAGCTTGGTTTTTAGTTAACCTTAACTTACTTTAGCTTATTGTTTGTGGCCGGCCACTCACGTGGCCTGCAATATTGGATGCGACCTCAAGGAGAGCTAGTAGTGGTGAACCGGTACCCATGGTCACTATTAGCACGGCGGTCTCCTTGTGGTGAGAGCACCCATCCCCTTTTGCTCCCCGCCCGGAGCCGGGGGTGGGACGCCATGGGCTGCAGCATCTTTAAGTAAATAAAAAATAAATATTTTGTAACTGGACTTTGCTACTAACTTATAAGGTTTTTCTGCTTTACTTAGTATACCTGCGCCCTCTGCCTACCTTCTTCGTTACGAGAGCGAGAGTTGAGTGATGCTACTTCGGTGTCTGCTTGAACAACCTGCTCAACAAGACAAGATCATGGGGTTGGGAATAACAGCGTCCTTTTCATATATTTTTTCGTAACTGCCCTGTCGGCGCATCCCCGGCTGTGTGACAGTTACGAGATGGGATAGGGTAAGTCTGCACCCACTTGTGGTGTGCGACGAAAACCTTGGGCCTCTCCTCCCATACCCGTATCAATTCCTGTACTACAACACCAGACATCAAGTAGCAAGAGAGAAGTGTGTTGTATCGATCTCGTTTCGGGTTTTGTATCGTACTCTTCCATCTGCTTGTGGTCAATTCTATATAATCTGTTATGGTCACAACTAACATCAATACAAAAATTAGCTTCCCCACAAAAACTTTTTTTCAAACAAGAATAACATGGTGAACCTGGTCCGTCCAGGGGAGGTCTAGGCATACCTTAACTGGGAGTCTGACTTATCGCATAACAAGGAACTCTGGAGAGTAACCAGTCAAGGGTATTTCTTGCAGGGTGAGTTAACCCCAGTAAAGTTAGTAGTTATAAAGGAAAAGGGGAAAGGACAAGAACATACAAACCCCTAACCACTAGTCCTAAACTTACGATATAAAGGTATTTCAGTCAGTCCCTTTAAAAATGAATACTTCTATTACTGATGGCAGACGCCAGAAGGAGATCGTCGCAATCTGGGATAAAAATAATGCTTTGACAGAGCTGTGCGATAATAGTGGTATGAGCACACATGACTACTTAATAGCCAAAGACAGGACCCGCCACATAAGTAGTCGGATTATGTATGACGTACAGCTACCCATAACTTGGAAAATGAAAGCATTGACAGACAAACACAAATACATTAGAACGAACATCAAGAATAGAATCAGTGACTACAGCCTGATTGGAACAGGATCAAGCCAGTACAACCTAGACCTGTATTGTAAAGAAG